GTTGTGGGTGTGGGTGAGGGTGTGGAGAGTTTGTGATAGGAGGGAGAGGAGGTTGTGTGCGGAGACTTTTTCGGAGTGTGTGAAGAGGTGGGAGATTAGGTGGTGCATGCTGTCTATGATTAATATTTCGGGAGTGGTTTCTGTTGAGCTTGGGGTTGGGGTTGTGGGTTTGACTGGCGGTGGTGGTGATGGTGGTGGTGGAGGTGGTGTTAATTCGATGTCTTCCTCTTCGCTGTCGCAGATTTCATCTGGGATTTTGTGCAGTGGCTCTGCTTTCCCTTCAACGGGTTTGCTGGTCCGTGGTGGTATGATGGTAGGTATTTCCTGATCGTCCCCATTGTTTCTTGACAGGTCATGTGGTTGTCCTAGCTCACTTAAAACCTCCCATAGCCCCTCAATATCAAAGACTCTACTAATGGCTACCAGTTCCAGTAGTGCATTCACCTCTTTTTGTATGTCGATCTCGGTACTTTCATCTGCATTATGACCAGAATTAATATTCATAGTCGAATCATCCCTACTTCTCATCTCACGTCTCCTCTTCAAGAGCCTTGATCTCAAGATTTTGACTAAGAGAGGAAGGTTAAAGGAACCAGTGGCGTCTATTACTACGACTTTTGGCTTGATTTTATTCGTCGATTCACTCTGGGAATTCTGAATGACATTTACCAAATCGATATGTTGTAAGAGGACTGATGCTATGAGATTGAGAGTTATCTAAATAGTGAATGTATCAGGACCTTATTCAATACACAATTTAATACACAATATGGCAATAACTTACCACTCGACTGCCTATCGATTCATCTCCATCAGCAGCACTTAACCCTACTACGATTCCTCTCTCAAATCCTCCATTTGATTGAGCCTTACCGGCACAGAGAACATATTCATCAATCTCCTGACATCCCGTTCTGATTCGTGCTGGTCCATTATCTTGCTCATTGAACAGCGTCCGTTGCCGCTCTTCCAATTCAAGCAATTGATCTGCTGTTATTGGATGGGCTGGAGCTGGAGCTGGAGCCGGAGGACGCAAGACTTTTGTCTGAGCCATGTGATCTATTTCAGCCATTTCGAGAATTCTCGGGAAGTGAATTGTCGTACATTGATAGGCGGAGAGTTGAGACGTATGGCCATTTCAAGAAATCAAGTCATCACTTTGAATGCTTAATAAATAAGTTCTTCGGAATCATAAATCATCATACTTATAAGTGAGTGCTTTCCATAATTGATAAAGTATATGAGTTGCTCTCATTCTTGGTCGTATAGTCGACGCGTTTGACAATCTCATGAGGTGAAGGTCTCAAATCCAATCACGACGGGCAAGTAAGAGTTCGTGTTTGAAAAGTTCGCGCGAGCACGTGACTCACATAGCCTGATTTCCTTGAACATCTCCTAGAATTTCATCTACTCTACAAACTAAGTAATGTTCTTCAATCTCACCAATCCTTCGAATTCAACATCTACTGGTGGGAATTAAAGAAAGGTAACCAGGAACAAAGCAAACACAACCTTAGTTCTACCACCAACCCATCTTAAAATAACCACCTATACAAACAAAAGCGTGCAAAGTTCCACCAATTCACACCTTCCGATTGCAAACCTAGCCAAGTAAGGAAAAGCAAAAAGCTGGGCAAATTTTCAGACTTGCAACAAGACACTTTTTCTTCACTCTAGTTGGTTTGCAGAGTTCGTGTTTCCATTATCACGGGTAAAGCTTACGACGACATTTTCCTGTGTGCAAGTGGCACGTACGGGTACGGATGTATATTTCCGGTTGGGGGGAGGCTTGGTATGGATAATGGGATGAAGGATTCGGGACCGAAGGTCTTGGGAATTTGGAAATTTGGAAAGAGGTTTTGCATAGCCTGAAATTATGTTCTTGGGATTTGTTCTCAAAACTGTTCTCATATTCTTGGATGAAAGAATGTCTTTCTGTATATTGGCAGTTTTCATTACAAGTGTTTGAAAACTATCATCTGGAAGTCCTAAAATCTCCTGGAATTCACAACATCACGATCTACAATCTGTACAACGGAGATATTCTCGTCGTTACTAGGGTGCTCCGTATAGTAGACACAGGCCAAGTGCTCACTGCCTCTTGTACCTTGTTCGTCTTATTCTGCCTGCCTTTTTGGTCGGTTGCTGCATCATTCTATTATGTATTACCCTGCCTTCGCTACAGGTTCTGCAGGATTATCAAAGAAATAAACATGAGTGAGAGGTATAGCCGACATGGTCGATTTCGAAGAAAACGTACTTTATCCTGGCCATTATGTAGCTATCTCTGTCTTGGCCTTTATGTGATAGGGCAGTACCGCTTGTCTTCTACTGCCCTCGCATTTCGAGACATTGTTCTCATTCTATTGTTTCTCACTTCATTGTTCTCAGATGAAGCCGTGGAAACATATCTCCGCCCCATTGGAGACGAGGGTTCTTTACGACGTTTAGACTTGGAAGGTAGAATGCACACGAGTTGTCGATTCAATATAATATCTTGCCAAGACCACAACATTTGCATTACGACATTGCATTGGGACCAGTTATGTTCTCCAACATTCAGAAGAAACGATGTATTTCTCCGTTGAAATCACTTTCATATCAACTTACAATTGAGCTCGGCATTCAGTAATTTTGCTATCGAAAGGCACTCTTTTCGAACAAAATCTTGTCCAACTTCCCTAGTCAAGAGAACAGCAAATCTATGGGTTTCTTGTTTAAGGTTCCGAGTTCCAAACAGCTTCATGGTATGATAGGGAGTACTGTAAAAAAGTGTCTGGCCTACCATGGTGCGAACAGATGTGAACCAGGAGTAATGAGTGGTCTCGATACACCAATCTTTTTGACCTCTAGTTCGCCTTCGAATTAAACCCACGAGACTCCATCAAATTTCATGTCGATATCGATCGGAAAAATGTTCAACAGCAAATCTACAACTGGCCCTTTCTGTGCTGCTTCAATTATGGTATGACTCAAGACAAGAAAGTTGAAATACCAACTAGCTTCCATTCTACAAGACTACCAATCCGACGCTGTCTGTTGATAGATGAAGCATCTGTCATGGATCCATATTACATGCTTCCACTACAGTATATTAACGAGTCGATAGATCCTTCAATATCGGTCGTTCAAGCAGTATCAAACACTCGAGCTGATACAATTGTGGGCGTATCTTTCTCACTAGCAATCCAGTCATGGCCGAGTGGGAGTTGACATTTGCGAACTGTTATGGTCTCGAGTTCTGCAGATTCGGTATTCTCAAATATTCCAGTTTGCTGCGGAAGCCCTGTCTCAAAGCAATCCTCGACTTGACTTCTTCTGAAAGATATTTCAACATATATTCCTCTCCCCCTTCGAGTGCTCATAGCGCAAACAATCCACACTCTAATCACCCAACTCTTTTAGCTTCTTGTCTCAGTACTACACAGTCGGGTATGCTAATCATAATACAGACAGCACATTCCCAATGATTGCGACATGGGCCATCATACAGGATAGTAGTATCCTTATGTTAAGCCCTCGTTCTTCCTCCTTTTTTCTGAACCCAACTCTTCGATATCAACCTCATCCCCCTCTCTCTTCGGCTCTCATCTGATCGATCACATTTTGTGTCAGCAAATATGCGTCCTAAAGCAACGGTAAATGTATTACTCAAGCCACGAGGCCATGATGGAGGGTGTCTTATTTGCCAACTTAGACTGCCACGACTCAATAGGTATAGCCCCCAAAAGAACCTCCGAGCCTGCATTCCATGAGCATAACAACCTTTCAATAAATTCTGCTAGTTACGATAATGCTTATCGATCAACTATGAGAATATGAACTGACCTTGGCACCTCCTACGATCTATTGCTCTTGAAGGTGGTGAAACAGCAAATTTAGTCAAACGACAATTGTGCTATCAACAGGTACCTATCTAAAGGTGTCCACTATCCAATACCCGCAACATTTCAGAGACTGCAATCTCTCATCCCGTAGTATTCAGTGTATTTAATGAGCGGCTATTATTTCATTTATCTTCCACCCTGGATACTAAAAGTCCGGAAGAAATGTTTAGATACATCCATCCAGCTTCTGTTTTCTTCACTATACTACCCCTCCCCTCGGCAGTACTAACCCATACATAACATCGCCTCCTAACTAATCCCAAATCTTTACATCTCCACGATCGCACCACCTTACACTCAAAATTAGCCGCACAAGTGGTGATGCCTCACTCTCATTCTTGAGACCTCCTTTTCATTTCGGAATATTTTTACGATCTTTCAACAGCCATACGCACACCACTCCGTACTATACCTCTCACGTTTAAATTGCAGTTAACGGTCTCTGTTAATACATTACTGTATCCAATTCTTCACATAATCTCAAAACTTATCTTCGATTCTATCTACGAAAGTGCAAAGTGCCAGTACAGTCTGTTTCCTTGCACTTGAACAGAAAATATTGTGAGGTTAAGGGCTCACTACAAAGTTTGGAATCTTTTCTATGTTACGGATATGAATATAATTCTTGAGTCCCTTCGTTTCTCCAAGGTACAATTCATCAGTACTTGGCCCCCTTTTAGGCACTCCAGTGTCTTCAAAGCATTGCTACAATATCGTTTCACGAGGAACCGACAGTTTCTTTCCAGCTCGCATGCAATATACTCAATGCTGAGTGCCTGGTTTATCTTTGTCCATCTTGACTCAGCTACTCAGCTACTCACCCAGGAAATCTCGTAATAATATTACTACTAGCCCTGGATAAACCACATATCTTTTTTGTGACCTACCCATCTAACAAAGTAGCATTGTTTCTCGGGACTTCACAATTACCTGATCTTTGAGATACATGGAAGAGTTGGCACTAGCAATTACATTAACTTGGTACTACATACTTGAAGATTATTTATTTCCATTGATAGTAACAAAATCTTTGCTCGAAGTCTGCCATTAACAATACCGTCTGAATACTGCCCACTCCCACACCAAGCCACCGTTAAAGATCTTGCACTCTTATCAGATGACCTTGAAAGATTGTTCGCTCCATCCATAAACCCTCTTCAATCGACTAGCAAACATGACCAACTTCCACCCTTCAATCTCCGACTTGTGGGGTCGGTGAAAGGTGATGGACTTCATACGACCTACATCCTTTGCTGCTGGAGAGAAAGTGTATACCGATCCGAATTTTGGAATGACAGAGAACCCCAAATCGACCATTGCAATTTCGAAAGAAATCCAGCTAATTGAACCACGAGCTTCAGACTTGGCGAACATGGTGGAGAAGACATGCGCCGTGTTTTTGTTGACTTTGAATACCTGAGGCAACTCCTCAGTTCCTCCTTGTGCAAGTTCAGTTTTATCTTGGGTAAGATCATAAGGAGAGACATTTATAGGTCGAGTCTTGTCTTTTTGTCTTCGTTGCTGAATGAGGATATCTGGACCCATAGTCTCGTAGGCGGGGTCTTCAAAAGTTTTGGGAGGCTTCTTCCTAATCTGTGCCACTCTGTCTTTCTGCTGCTCATAGTGAGTTTGAACCTGATAAACGCAATCGTCAACAAGATCCTGGTACAGAATTCCGGTCCTCGTGCCCATACGTTCCGCTGTAAATTGATCAAGAGCATCAATAGCACCTTCGGTCATTCCTGGCTCGAGAAGGTTTTCCATGGGTACTGCAAATTTCGAAAGATCAACCTCATGCTTTAATGGTTCAAGCTCGCCTAACAAGTTCTTGAGTCTTGATGCGTATATCTGTCCTCTTCTAGAATTTTTTGCTGGCAGAGTAACGGTTGCAGAAAGAATTTCAACAAATCTGACGATGACCGCCAGGTCATCAAAAGCGTCCAAAACACCATCATGCACTTCAGATAGCTCGATGGGATGAAGACGATAAAGATCTTCTAATTTCTTGATCCAAGGAAGTGCGTTTGTGACGTCAATTCCAGGGGAGCAGAGACGGAGCACGTAAGAAAGTTGTGGGTTCTCCCTAGTTAGAAGCTCTGGATCTTCCTTGAGTAATACTCGTGCAGATCCATTATCATACTTTCCCGAGACGCGTTTGAAATACTTTGTACCTGTTCCCAAGGCTACGTAGCGTTTAAAGACTTTCTGTACCCTACAAAACTCGAGATGAGCTACGTTTGATGCTTCCTGAAGCAAAATTGTACTGGCAATTTTATCGTCAGGCTTCTCTGCTAGAAGTTGAAGAAGGCGATGCATGTAATCCCAGGTTGCGGCCCCAGTCGCCATGTTGTGTATCAACTCGAAGATAGAAGTATTGATGTACTTATCGGCCAGCCAGGGGAGAATTCGTCCCCTCTCATCAGGTATAAGTTCCGGTCGACTGAAGTACCAGCCGTTGGCCATATGTTCAAGAACAACTGATTCAGAGCAACACAAAACCAGATAATCGCTCACGGCGGTTTTTTGGTCGAGTGAGTTGTTGATTATGTCGTCTAGCGAAAGCTTCTCTTGACAGTCAACGATGGAAAGGCTTGAAAGAGCAGAAATAACGGCCTTATTTGACTTTTTTGGCCGGGGCTTCGTAGATTTGGTAGTAGATCCGGCATCCAGAATGTCCGCAACTAACACATTCAGGTGTATCAAGGTGTGCAGTTGTCTGGTGAGAACGAATTCGCCAACCTCTTGAGAAACAACAGCTCTCTTTTCAAACGCAAAGGCGAGTGTATGTGTAATTTCGCGATAGTTAGCAGCAGTGGTTGCTTTGTATGACTGACCATAGGTATCTTCGTCGTAAAACCTAGTTAAACAGTATTTGAAATCTTGAATATGGCGAAGGTTATTATCGTGCATACTCTCCAAGATGAACATACAATCTCCTGGGCCATCATGAATACCCACTCTATATTGATGCAGGAGAGACGTTGTAGCTCGGTATCTCAGATAATCAAGTAGATATTCAGGTTCTGTAGTTATGTCATGCAGATTCATTTCGGGGACTATTTTCCACGGGGCGCCTATTGATTGATCTTTTGAGTGCTTCAAGTATCCGTCTTCGACAACACCAACCTTGAAGACATTCACTCGCTGACTCTGATCAAAGCTTCGCCAAATCTGTTCGATTTTCGGTCCATGCAGCTTGTACTTTCTTGCCAGATCTGCATGCTGAGTCTTGGTGACTTGAGCGTGGTCTGCCTCAGTTTCCATGGTCGGAGATGCGAGAAAGCTCGGTTTCAGGTGGCTGATTGTCGAAATTGAAGTCGAAGAGCAGAAACAAGTGACTTCCTTGTGTTTGTATGCAGTGCGGGGTATGGGACAATCGTACATTTAGCAGCTTTTCCAAATAGGGGAGGCACTAAATTAGTGGCAGGAGTGATTTGATTGTACTGCATCCGTTCAGGAGATTCTACAATTTGACGAGAAATGATGGGTTATAATTAACAAAAAAACTTCTTGTACACTCATGAAATATCTAGGAAATTACAGTGAATTCTCAATACAAAGAACTCACAACGATGAATTTATGTGCTTTCGAGGACGAATCACGAAACTATGCTCAACGAGAATTTAGAAATACTCAAAGCAACATTCGTCTTACCGTAATTGTGCATCAAGCTCAGGCGCGTACTTGATTACCCCTTTGTGAAATTTCAAGCCATGCCTCTTCCCTACGATATTTGACGGGTTTTGGGCTCTGGAGCATCTCCATCTGTGTTGTTGCAATACCAATTTGTTTGATTCGAAGCATTCCCTCGACTCAATCGCTCGTAGGGTCGCCCAATGAAAAAGGAAAACTCCATGAATGATTGAATGAGGAAGGAGTCAGGCAGGTTGGCTACCTTCAGAGTTCGACCCATAAACGGGTGATCGCGAGACTTTCCCACGTGAATCGCTGTATTGCGTACACGTGATCATTCATTGCGCACCAACTCTCCTTGTATGATCCGGCTTTAGTATAAGGTAGAAGCGGGAGAGCAACGCAATGAGCTTAATTCTGAGAATGCATGGAAAAGATTGTGTATGTGAGGTACATATGAGTTCTCAATGCCTCGCTTCCAATGTGGGAAGAGGGGGGAGGGTGGCAAGGAGTTACCTCAAAGCAATCATATATACACTGATACCTATTGAGATATTTGTTGATCTGCCGATTTTTTGTCAAAAGATGGATAGCAATGACTTCTTTCGAGAACCGCTATATATTTACTATACCTTCCTTGGCATATAAGAGCACCCGCCACCTATACAGATGTTCTGGATTGTAAAGTCTTACCGTTTCTAGTAGTAAGTATCCATGGACCGATCTAGTTGGAAATATGTGAAAATGCCACGACTTCACTCTATATGACAGGTCGAGACTGCAAGTTCCTTTTCCTCGCACACAGATATCCGCCATCTCCTCCTCTACATTTGCATTTGCATAGATTGAATATCGTTGTTGTTGTTCTTGTTGTTATGTATTGCATGTTGGATTGTTAATTTTGGCTGATGATCATGATTGACGAGGCTGTAGAATTTCCCCACACAAATGCTCGCTTAAAAATGGAAATTCTTGGCACACACAATGAGCGCTGAGGTCCTTCAACACACGACGACGAGTTTGATTACATAGGAAAGTCAAATCTTTACAACCGTACGTATAACATCAAAAATACATCCGATCGCTGCGAAACTTTCTGCCGGACAGATATCTCGAATTGTTGACTGACGATTTTTGCTCGCCATAGAACAACCTCCACTTCCTCATTTAATACCTCCCCTCAATTCTCGACGAAGGTCAAACTATAGCAATTATGGATATGGAAAAGTTGAAGAGAATGCAGGCCAGAGGTGGTGTCAGAACTGGTGAGTCTAACTCCGACGAATGCCGCAGAGGACGCGAGTGGCAGAAAAATTGAAAAGCTTGAGATGGGACTTTTTGAAGGATGGAGGGGTTGGAATGCCAGCTGGCTGTGCTATACAATTCTTACCGGTATTTGAACGATTACAAGCTAACATGTGGCCGAAGGGTATGTGATAGAATCCTCATCCTCATGCGATTTATGATCTACGAACGCGATTTCCAAACTCTACGACTGAGGAAAGCGCATAGCGGGGTAGCATCGGCATGCTAACAAATACAATAGTGGAAAGGGTACACCAAGAAGAAAGGTTAAGAATGTTCACAAGAGCACCGGAATGGACGACAAGAAGCTACAGACCTCCCTCAAGAAGCTTAACGTTCAACCTATCCAAGCTATCGAGGAGGTAAACATGTTCAAGTCCGACGGAAATGTTATCCACTTCGCCGCACCAAAGGGTACTTCCACCTCACAATACGAGCTCCTGGAATTATACTAACCTTTCAATGAATAGTTCACGCTGCTGTTCCATCCAACACCTTCGCCATCTACGGTAACGGCGAAGATAAGGAGCTCACCGAGCTCGTCCCAGGTATCCTCAACCAACTCGGCCCAGACTCCCTAGCTTCCCTCCGCAAGCTTGCCGAGAGCTACCAATCCATGCAAAAGGCTGAGGGTGGTGAAGACAAGAAGGACGATGATGAGGATGATGATGATATCCCAGATTTGGTCGAGGGTGAGAACTTTGAGGACAAGGTCGAATAAATTTCCCGCACGCAAGGCAAAGTCGATTAGGAATGATATTAGAGAACTGGTGACAGCATTGATATGGGAATGATCATAATCCTCTCTTTGGCTATGTTATGGTACCTCGCTGCATGAATATAATGTTTCAGGTAGTCCGAAGGTTACTTAGCTGTACAAATCATACTACACATTAAGTCCTTCTATATTACAATATCTTCCTTATGGGACCAAAAACATCAAGATTCTAGCGTGTTCATATGAAGGACGACAGGATCTCACTTTTCCTTCGGGTCAATAAATCGCATCCAGACGACTTAACGGAAGAGGCACGTGTGTTTTGAATAAGTGATACTTTGCAATCTTTGGTGTTTCTACAAGGTACCTGGGCTACCTTATGAGCCGCGCGACGCTGTTTCAAGGAAACGATCATCAAATTTCTCTCATATTATCATGCAGAAACTTGTGGTTGTAAAATCAAAAATATCCCACATTCCACTTGATTTTAGCTAATAATATGCGCCAGCAATGACTGAATAATGCCCCTCTTCAATGCCTTCTAAGTTTCTCGTGCCTAGTCTACGCTCTTCACATTTTCACTTGCTTCATTGCTCCTGTCCTCTTTTCTCATCTTCCCATTCTTCAGATCCATCTGATACCTTGCTACTCGCTTCCGCGATCTTTATCGTCATTGGACCCGGACCATTGCCAACTTGAATCGGTCTCATATCTGCCGGATCTCGTTCTGACTTCTTCCCTCCCTCTTCCTTTCTATTTTTCTTAACTCTAGCTCCAAGGCTCAACTCTCCCGCCCTCTCTTGCCAGGTCGTTTCTCTCCTTCCCATGTTGCCCAGCTCTTCTTTCTCTCTCGATTCTCCATCTTTCTCTCGCTCATGACCCATCACCCCAGAAAATGTGACCCTTTTCACATCACTCCCTCCATACAGCCCCGGCCCTAATGCAGCTCCACACGTACAATCCTTCATCAAATTAATAGTGCTACTCATATTGCCGATCTCTTCTTCATACTTCTTGGTGCGTTTCTTCGTGGCGCATACTTGGTAAGTACTGTTTAGACTGAGGATGAGGGAGAAAGAGGTTAGGATCTTATGGGTGTGGCGGAGAATACAGGGGTAGTGGGAGAGGAGCTGGGTAAGTGAGGACATGCTGCTTGGAGAGTGGAGTGGTTGTGGTGGGAGATAAGTCGTAGGGCTGGATGGACTGTAGAGTGAGACGATGAGATATTGGGAGGTAGAGTCGATGGGTTTGAATTACTAGATGGTCAATGTGGAAGATGGGGGTCTAGTGATGGGCTGATATATACACATCTGCTGATGAGAAGAAGGATCTACAGTCAAATCTCCTTTATTGACGGGCAAAAAGCCATATTCCAGAGACACAATACTCCCCTTTTTACTCTTTTCATTTTCTCTCCTTGATTGTACCAGAGATCTCAGTCTATCTTTCACCACCCTGTTACATGGCCTCAAAGGGGTTCATTAAATAAAAGAGACAATCGAAAGAACATTCAATACGACCAGTTTCCATCGGAGGAGCTCACGATGTTTTGAGGATACAATGATCTACTGCTTTCTTTGAAATTGTGCTAGCTCACTGTCACCACATTTTACAAAAAAAGCTTTCACCGACTTCTTAATCGCTCTTTGTGACGTTTCAGAAAACACAGCAGGAAACCTCACATAGATTAACTAGTAAGTTCGTTAGTATAGAAGCCCCCTTCTCGTGTCTTTTTTCTAAAGTTGTGGTTGAACGGCATGCCACCAGGATGTGAAGACTATTCCTCTTTCTCATTCAGGACCTCAGATAGCTTGTCATTGCTAAATTCGTTGAGGCTAGCTGAAGTAAAGTGAAAGATGATAACGATTCGAAAGTCTTTAGAGAATTGGTTTTGGAAAATGATGGGAAGATTAAAAATGCGAAATGGGTCCGATGGTAATCAATGAGACACAATTTTCGAGTATCGTACCTATTCAAATTGGACGACGCGCAGAAAGATGAACATCTTGGATTCGAAGGGCAAGAAAGTTTAGATGGTAAAGATAGTATTTGTTGTGACTGTTTGCACTGGCTTTTGGTTATGGAGTTTGAGTTGGGCCAATACACGTGATAGATGGGTGTCTTAAATTGAATGACTCCCTTCTTTTGACCCGTGCAAATGAGGTGTTGCTTCCTTGGCTTGAGTGGGAAAGTTGGTATATGAAGGTGGTGTATCCCGTCCATTTCTGGGTTCGAGCAAGGATACATATGAGCAGCATATTTTGATTTTCTTATGGAGAGTGGGGAAATGGCTCAGATGATGCATCTCATGTGGTTCCTCAGAACGAGAGAATGGCCTCATAATTAGCCAGCGCTTATGATAAGAACTTTAGAAATAGGGCCACATTAGTTACACATATGGCGAGACCTTGTCACTCGTGGCATTTTCATATTCAAGACGAAGAACTAGTATGTAGGGGCATAGGTATCAGCATTTCCCATGGGTGATGAGATGACTTTGGGTACCTCTTTTAGTGTTCTCAAGAGAAAAATGGTGTCGCTTATCGACGGCATCTTTTGTTGTACTTGAGATGTGGTACTTGAAGTCCCTTTGTATGTGGTGTGCTGCTTGGCGGAATTGATGTGTAATGAATGTCATAAGTGACCTTCAATGATTCTTTGCCTTTCCCGTCACCAACTTTAATGCGTTCTCCTTCCAGCCTGCGGCTCCGCCATTTGCATCAACAAAGTCTCGTTCGTCGACATCTTCGTAATCTAGTTTTCTTCTTCGTCCGATTAGAGCCGCATTTCTTGTACTCGGTATTCGTAGCCATTCCTTTTCCACTTCCCATCCACATCCTTCAGCGAGTCCCGCGACCCATGCAACAAGAGAAGCGTACGCCGAGGGTGTACCTCCAGATCCTTTGGGTGGTGGCGCCCGGCATCTTGCACCACTGAGAGCATGACTGCAACATGGAATCATCATAAATGGTGATTGAGAAATGTTCGCAAGGATAGGTGTCCATGGAGTTAGCTCATCAGCGTGATTTGAAATAATGAATGTTCCTTTGGGGAAATTTCCGTCATGAACATCAGTTCCCGAGGTTTCATTTTCATTTGACTCTGAATATAGAATTGAAGGTATCAAAACAAGTTCTTGTAACTTCTCTCGTGTCTTTGGCCCGAACACACTCCATGATTTCCTTTCTCTTGCATCAAATCCCCATCCTTTGTAACCTTCTTCGGATAAAATATGAACAAGAAGTCCATTTCCACATCCAATGTCAACATAGCCTGGAAATTCGGTATCTTTATAAGTATCGGCCCAAAGTTCAATGAGAAACGCTGCAATGTTCAGATCTTCGAAAACATGCTTTTCTGGATCTGTGGCTTCAGCCCAATTCTCAATCAAAGTCTTTGCATACTTGGCCTTGAGACGAGCATAAGTATTCTGAACAGTAGCTTGAGGTATGATGGTGTCATGATGGACTTTTTTGACATATCCTGCAGCAGTTCCTTGTCCGTGCTTATATAGAGCAGCTAGTAAATGTTCAGCTGTTCTTTCAAGTTTCTGAGTACGAGGTTCGGACTCGAAGAATGCATAGTGTATTGCAATAGTTGCATCCTGTGTCTCAGGATCGAATATATGCTGGAAAGCAATTCCGTAAACTCTAGGGTGATAAAATGGTGATTCATCCGGTGATGATATATGCGGGAGATAAATAACCAGAGATTGAACTTCCCCAGCATCTGTAGTATTCGCATAGAAAAGACACGTTTGATCGAGTGGCTTATCTTTTAAGATGTTTCTAGGTATCATAGTTCTTACCATAACTTTCTGTAGAGTATAGTTGCGGAACTGAATAATCCTCGCAGGAATTCTAGTATCGTTTTGGAAGTTTTCATTAAATGGCTGCTCTAAAGAGACATCGGCTCGAAACAGATGATTGGAATTGATATTTGGATTTCGAATTAAATTCAGCATGACTTGCGAAAAGATCTCCGGTGGAAATGAACATTTATGCTGAAATAAAGGTGTCCAACCAGGACTCCTTTCCTGGGTGATATCTTCAAGTATTTCCGAGGACCCAGGAGGGTACGGCTCTGGAGTAAACGGGACCTTCGCAAGAGTCATAGTCACCGTTGATGATGGACTTGTAAATTATGAAAGGAAAGGTTGGCCCTTCTGGATAGCGCGAGGATGTGGACGATTGAGGTAGGTCACGTGATTTTAGATATCTTGGTTTTGGGTTGCTATACCTGCTAGGAGTCGACAAAACACTTCAATGGAGGATGACAAATTATAAGAGTACTCAAAGGTCCTATTCCTTCTCTTCAAACTGATTTGGCTTTGCATGAAGTCGAGATAAACGTCTTCAGAAAGCAAGGCTGATAATAACGTCGAGGCTGTGGACAAGGCTCAGAGCAATTTAACTAGGGCCAAATTAGCGAGATCTTAGCGCTCGCACGCAAATCGCAAACCAAAAAATTAAGAGTCTAACGAATTCGGCATTTTGCGATCTTATTGAATTTCCTGCCCACGACTCCGCAGGAAACAGCAAACACACGACAACCACGCCAAACCGTCGACATCATGCGTACTTACGAAGATTCCTTCTCCGGAGCCAAGATCTACCCTGGAAAGGTACGAGTGTTGCCCCTTTGAATGATTATGGATTGTGGTCGACAAATGGATGATTGGATTGAAGGGGGAGAAAGGCAAATAGTTGGGCTACGACTGTGCAGATTTGGGAATTACATCAAAGGCGCATAAGGGTTGCGTATCGAAGAATTCAATGCTAATTACTTTTGGAATCATATAGGGCAAGCTCTACGTCCGTGGAGACTCCAAGATCTTCCGTTTCCAAAACGGTAAATCCGAATCTTTGTTCTTGCAACGCAAGAACCCTCGCCGAATTGCATGGACCGTCCTCTTCAGAAGACAACACAAGAAGGGTATCTCTGAGGTACGATATCACAATTTACTTCGCGGCTTTATTCACATCGAGATGGAATGAATGACATCATGGGACATTCGGAAGAACAAAAATACTGATGCAGTTTTCACCATACAGGAAGTCGCCAAGAAGCGTTCCCGCAAGACCGTCAAGTCCCAAAGAGCCATCGTCGGTGCTTCCCTCGATGTCATCAAGGAGCGAAGAAACCAGAGACCAGAAGCCAGATCCGCTGCTCGTGAGTCCGCCATCAAGGCCGCTAAGGAGAAGCGTGCCGCAGAGCAAGCCGCCAAGAAGGCCACAAAGGCAAAGACCAATGTCTCCACCCAATCGAAAGTCAGCAAGCAAGGTTCCAAGGGTAAGGCACCAAAGCCAATGAACACTAGCCGTTAAATGTTTTGTTCATGGTTGTCGCGGTGCAATGGAAGGGAAATTGGGTTGTTGTTGTTAACGAAATGAACGAATAATCTTCGAAAGTTTCGGGGAGATTTTTCAATCAAGCATGGATGAGCAAAATGGGCTTTCTGCGTGATCTTGATCAATAGCATTTACAATGACAAGACTGGTACAAACAACGATGGTTAGGAAGGATATCCAATTTAGTGCAATGCGGTGCGATGTTTGTGATGCATATGTATTCGCATTCTGCCAAGTTTCAGAACTTGGGAGATTCTTTTACGGACAAATGGAGTCATTTGGTTTTCTGGGCCTACGAAAGACCTAGCATTTTTATAATACTACCAATTCCACCGGAAATGCATCGATCTGAGGGGATTCTTGATTGTGGTTTTATTGTTTCCCTGTTCTTTCTCTTCCGCTAATAATTCCCATCCTAACTATTTTCTTCCTCTATTGCTAAACACCAGGGGCTTTCAAATTTCCACCCAAAGCTCGATTCCAGTCTTTCCGATACGAAACGTACAATATGCTCACTACCACATCAAGACATTCCCACTCAAACGGTCGCAGAGTTCCCTGGATATTGCGTTTCTTTCAGTTACCCTCTCTATTCATTCCCAATTTTGACCATAGCCCGCTTCAAGACATAAGACATTTTACATGCCCTTACCCAAAGAACCTAATTTCAGTGACGCCTTTTATCTCATCTCGCTTACATTCCCATTTCCCTGGACTTTATCCCACATCATTAACCGACGTTGCCTGTCACCAAAGATGCCATGAATACCTAGTTGAATTGAGTTTTCCTTGTTGTG